TATATATATATATTTGTATAACACTTGTAGAGAGATTTAAAACTATGATACTATTTTTATTAAAAATTATGTATAAATATATTTTATGGATCAAGTACAGAAAATACTCCTAAAGTATATTTACAGTGCATATCATACTCCTATAATTTCAATTTGGTACAAATAAGTCCATCTGACAAATTACCCTTAACCATTTTATAAAATATATAAAAATAAATAATTTTGTAAAATAACTAAAGACACTATTGAAGGACGCCCCTCACATGCAAAAAACACCCCTAAAGTTTTAATTTGGTGCAAATAGATCTCTCTGACAAATGTAAACCCTAAGTTGAATAAATTAACCTTGCTGAACCATTTTATAAAATATATAAAAATAAATAATTTTGTAAAATGACCGAAAAGAACATTATTGGAGACACCGACAATAGTAAAGATAAAAATATAAAAGAAAAGTAAATATAAAAATAAAAAATAAAAAACGAAAATAAAGTGCAAACTAAAAAAAGCAAATATGCCCCAAACTCTGAAAACCAGTGTACACTGATATTGAGACTTTTTTGTGTTTTTTTTTTTTTTTAAACAGTGGTATGAAAATATATATATATAAATAGTAGAAAACACTAAACTGAAATCTCAAAAAAATCAAATCCTTGTTTACAAATTCTCAAAGATTAAAAAAAAAAAAAAAAAAAAAAAAGGAGAAGGAGAAGAAGAAGAAAGAAAGAAAGAAAGAAAGAAAGTAATGTGCACATTACACCCCTATGCCTATACTATGAGGTTAGTAACATATATATCCCTTTGGACATTTTTTAAAGAGTAAAAGGGTAAAATGAGTATTACAACATTTATGTCAAATTTATTGGGGAGTATCTTTGCAGTGTAAAAAATTTAGAGGTATTTTTTGCACACTTTTTCAAATAAGGATAAAAGTACTGCGGGGAGTATAATTTATGGGTATTTTCAGCACTTGTCCCTATATTTTATTGTAGATATTAAAAAGAGGAGAATAATTGAATTTTCAAAAAAAATTCTTGAAAAGTAAATTTTTTTCCTTTTTTTAACAAAATTGTGAAAAAATGAGGTGATTATAAAAAATCACAACTTCCCACAAAAAATTTCATTTCCTACTATACAAACTCTTAAAAAAATTTAAAAATTTGGGTTTCTTTTCTTTTCTTTCTATTTCCCATCTAACCAAGCCTAAACCAAATTGTTCTGTTTCATTCACAGTCATTGCTCTCTGGGTTGGTTGGTTAGTTTGTCGGTCAAACTAGACGAGAAGCTTCTAGAAATACAGTTTAAGCCCAATGGGCAATAGGTTGGCCCGTTTTTCTTTTTCTAATCTTTGTATCCCTTTATTCCTTTTCATTATTTCCCCTCAATTTTGTCAAGAAACAAGCCTGAAACATTGGCCAATTTTTTGTCAATTTCCTTCTAATTCTCTCCAATTTACCAAGCAAATCCTGATGCAATTGTTTTGTCAATCAATTTTAAATCCAACTAATATGGGTAGCATAAAGGTTCTTTATCACCTCACCTAAGCTGAAATCAATTTTAGGACCAAAAAAAATGGAGTTCATCGATAACAAAACATGTATTATGTATCGATCTTTCCATTTACTTCAACCCTTAACATGATGTGATTAACATGACAGTACAGAAGATTGTCTTAAATCAAATCTCCGTGATAATTATAATTGACGTACTATTTGGTTTACTTGTGATTTGTAGGTAGGTTATAAGGTTTACACATGACATTAGAATGGGGTTTTAAAGTCTTCACTATTATATGGCGATTGTAAAATATTGTAGAGAGAGTTTAAAGATTATAGAATGTTGATGAATTTGTAAATTCTAGTAAATTTTAGAATATTTTGAAAGAATGAAGAGTTTTGTAGAGTGTAAATATAGGAGGCATTTATGTTGCCGTTTGAGAGAGTAAATCATCTATATATAGTGTGAAGATTTCATTAGTAATCAACTGAAGCAGATTATAAAATAATTCATTGTGTAGAATAGATATATGCGGAGAAATTTTCGTCCACTTCGTTTATTTGGATATTAAATGTTTTATGAAAAATATTTTTTTTATTTTTGTTAGAAGATGGGTTGATTTATAACTTAAGTAAAATATTTAATGATTTAAAACCAAACAAAAGCAACTGAATCTTATGCGACGAGCCAACCAACTGATCAATTGATTCATCACCTATAATATTGTATAGATGAAACACTGTAATTTGGAGTTGAAATATTTAATGATTTAAAACCAAACAAAACCAACTGAATCTTATGCGAAGAACCAACTAATTGACCAATTGATTGATCACCTACAGTATTATATAGATAAATACCGTATATTCTAATTTCGAGTTGAAAATATGAGTGAAAATAATAGTCAATTGCTAAGATTCCAATAGTTTATTGCATGGAATTAAAATGTCTTTGAAAAAGAGTTTGTTGTACATATCCAATAGTTAATTACCAAAAAAAACATATCCAATAGTTTGCCATATCATTGAATGGAATCACAAATTTACAATTAAAAAACATGTTGAGAAGGATCACCCATACACATCCGTACTGTTAATGATTTGAAAACACAATATTTCGTTTCGAAGGAAGAAATGATAGCACTTCAATATTTAAATTTGAGGCCTTTGTGAGATTATTAAACCTAGTGGTGGAATGTTAATGTGATATGAGTGCGCAGTGAAAGCGTGTAGATGATGTAGGAGTGATGCTCTATATTGTCACTAGAATATCAAAGAAGCTTTAGATATCTATAAGTTTATAAGTTTATAGATTCTTATAAATTAGCATATGGTTATATTTGTATCTTGGGTAGTTGTAGTAAAGTTCTAGAGAAGTAATATTGACCTTACATTTGATTGGATTTTAGTTGTTTACCAAGGATTAGTATCCTGTATAAGGTTATAATCCAAAGATGAGCTAAAGGAGTTCGGGAAAGAAACCAGATTTTGGAAGAATTCATGTTACAATTTTGAAGACAAAATTATTGTTAAGGGTGATAGAATGTAACATCCCCAATTTTTGTACGTATTGTCGTATATATATTCATATATGCACATGGTTTAGTGGTTAAGTGTCCATCTGTAATATTTTTATAATTTGGATATTATACATATAGATTTACATATAAATGGTCACACTGTTTAACAATACGACAATAGAGATATAATTAGGATAATACTTGATATTATATTTCGATTATTAGCCTACGATCAAGGGCAATTCATAATTGAAGATATTTTTCGAGTACAAACAAGGGGCTGAAGGGTTTTTTAAAAATGTTCTAGAATGAATTAGAAATGGTAGCCCCAGAGACGATAATTGGAAGGTACGACTATCAGAGTATTTTTACTCACATGATTATATAGTTTTATATGAAATGTTGTTATCTGATAATTATTGTTTTGGAAATTTACATAGGAATATTGGAAGAGGCGATTGTGTGGTATCATGAAACTGATAAATGGAAGTTTATTCGGCAAGTTTAATCTTACTTCTTCTATATGATTGAGTACAGTGCATTATATTCAAATAAAATATTATTGAGAGTAATTAAATATTGGGTGATTATGTATTTTTATGATTATTATCTGAATGTTTAGAATCATTTTATTACGTAAATGAATAAGCTTGATCTATTTTTGGTGTTGATAAATATTATCAATAGGTGGGTGTATTGATTATGTTGTTAAATCAATTTGAGATTTTTAGATACCAGAAATTGAGGCTCCAACTAGATTTTAAAGAGAATTGAAATGATTTGTTTAGTATTGTCTGCAAGTGGACATGTGTATTGATTCAGTTTTGTGACTCCACGAGTATCTCATTCTATTAATAACTACCATTTGGGTTTGTATCCATACAAGGGTGGAATATATTTTTTTACCTATTTTGGGAATCATGTGTCAGAGTTGATGGGTTCCCCACATAATTTGTTGAAAATGTTAGATTCGTTCCTTATCTACGTGTTTATATTTGGATTCGTTCCATAGTATGTATTTGGTTTTGTTCCTTACCATGTGGTGGCATGTGATTCTTAATTATGAGGTTTGATATGTATTCACCTAAGTTGGAAATGTGATCATTTATTTGAGAAAATTTTGTGGAAGTTACATTTAGCATATTATAATTACCTGGGGTATGGTAGCTGTCTAGTTAGAGGCTGCACCAATTCTGTTTTATTAAGTATTATGTGATGTATAGTGGTATTTGGAAGTCTGGTAAGGTTATTAGTTGCTGAGCATGGATTTTGCCGGCTTGTGAGCTCACTCCATTTTAACATTTCACGTACTTGGTGGTTGTAGAGTTGGCGTTGAGGACCAAAGCAATTCAGAGTTTCTATTTTTCTTAGTTATAGAGAGATTTTTATTTTGAGGATTTTATATAACTTCATGTTGATTTGAGTAATGTATTTTGAAATAATTTTTAGTTCACAACCATTTTGAGTATTGTTATAAGATATATTTGTATTCGAATTTTGAGAGCGTGACACAATATTTCGTTTCGAAGGAAGAAATGATAACACTTCAATTAAGCGATTCGTGACACAATATTTCATTTCGAAGGAAGAAATGATAACACTTCAATTAAGCGTTTCGTAATATATATATATATATATATATATATATATATATATATAAATTAAAAAATTAAGCCTTTGGTGGTGTAGGTGTGACCACGCGCTGTGTAAGTTCCAATAAAATCCAGAGAAATTTCCAGCTCAAATAATCACCTAAAGTAACAATCCTCTGAGTCTGGAAAAACTTGAGACATCGAGCGGCATCCCTCGAGTCCTTAGCCTCGAGTAACAATCCTCGGGTCCCAAAAAATCTCAAGGAGACGTGTGCGGATGTGAATGTGTATTCTACAATACCACATTTCAGGCTTTCGGCAGGATCACATTGAAATCAGACGAGGGCTAACACCTTGATAAATGTATTAAGATTATGAAGGGAACACCACTATAGTCATAAAAATTGCAATATTGATTTCATATACAATTCTTGAGAGGTTAAATTGAAACTGATAGCCTTACAAAACATTGTTACTACTACTAATGATGACCACAACTATACTATCGATTACATATTTCCCATTTTTTAACTGTTAAATGTGGCTATAACCAAGGTATACAAAAAGAAAATGAGGGTTTATGGTCTAGGAATAATTACCATGGAGCATTGACCTCTGCCTCAAAGTTGAGCTCATGGCTCTCGGCCTTGGACTTCAGAGTCTCAATGTCAGCTTCAAACTTTTCCGAGGCTTCCCTCAATTCAACAAGCTTTGCTTCGAGGTTTCTGATCTCGTCTTTGGCTTGAATTCGATAAAATGTAGCCTCTAAATACCTCTTTCTATCCGACGAACCTTCTGATTCAAAGAGGATGGTTTGCAGGCGGCGCAGCCTTGCAATTAAAAATCCAACATCCATACCCAAAAGCTCAAATGATTTCAAGGTGTTCTCCCAATTTGTAAATTCATCCCGAGAGGTTGTGAGCTTGCAGGCTCTTATGGCATCTGCAATGTTCACAGTTTCAAAAATAGTACCAGCAATCAACATCCAATGAACGTCCTGGAGAATACCAGCATGAAGAAATGCATTCTTGCTGCAGCAGAGCTCATAGTACTTGGTCCGTATATGCTCAGGGAACTCGGAATCTATACACAACCCATTTACCGGAATGTTGAAATCTTCAAAACTTTTGATGTCGCTAAACTGAACAGCAGAACCAGTTAATTTGGGAGCTGCAAGATCTTTTGAACCCACCACTTCACTATCATTTTCAGATTCTACTGGCTGCACAAGTTTGGGTGCTGATATAGATAGACCTGTCTTCTTTTTCTTCTTTTGGGCCATAGACAATGAAATAGACTTTGGACGCTTCCTTTTCTTCTTGAGAGCTATCGTAACCCCCTCTGTATATTTTTGTAGTCCAATATCGACATGAACCATGGAAACTTAAAACATTAAAAATCAAATAATAATTGTCTGAACTATTTTAATCAAAAAAGGAACTGACAAACAAAGATACAAGTCAAACTAACCTGCATCACTTAGTTTTGCATGAGCATCCAAATCTAGGAGGCCAAGAGCACCATCTACCTCAGTCAAATTATTTGCTCTTATTATGTACACCTAGAGAAATGAGGAACATATATAAAGAGATCTATAGTAAATTGTTGGGACACTAAACCAAATTCTGGAAATTTCTGAACATTGAGTGTTGAAAGGTTCATTGTCATTGGAAGATTGAAGGCCACATATTAGGTTCATGTTTTTTGAAAGACTAAAAGATCTTAATTAATATGTATCTAAAGTATTCATGTATCTAGTGAATTCATGTACCCACAAAGCTATATATAGAGTCTGATGTATTGTGTTGATTATATGAAGAAAGAAACAGAAAGAATCATTTCAGAAATTAAAGCATCTTCTTCTTCTATTTTGTATTACTACAAAGTGGTATCAGAGCAAGGTTGAAAAATTCTGCAAAATGGCAAGTTCAAACAATAATACTTTGGCCTCTCTCATTCCTCGTTTTAATGGAGAAAGTTATGATTATTGGAGCAACAATGTGAAGGTGTTGCTAAAATCAATGGAGCTATGGAAAATTGTTGAAGAAGGATTTGAAGAGCCAGAAAATGAAGAGCAATTGACACAAGCATAGAAAAAGACTTTGAATAACAATCGAAAACATGACAACAAGGCACTCTTACAAATATATCAAACAATTGAGAAGTCGGTATATGAAAGACTTGCTAAAGCCGAAAGCGCAAAGGAAGCATGGGAGATTATTCAAACAACCTATAAAGGAGAAGAAAAGGTGAATCTTCAAACCTTAAGAAAGGAGTTTGAAAAGTTGGAAATGAAAGAAAGTGAAGGCATTGCGGACTATTTCACAAGAGTTACTTCCATTGTCAATCAAATGGCATCCAACGGAGAAATTTTAGAGGATCAAAGAGTGGTTGAAAAAATTCTTCGTAGTTTACCACAAAAGTTTGACTATGTGATGGCTGCTATTGAAGAATCAAGAGATTCTTCTACTCTCTCTTCGGAGGATTTGCAAGGATCATTGAAGGCTCATGAGATCAGAATCAATCAAAGGAATCCTCCTCCTTCTCAAACTGATCAAGCTCTAAAGTCCCAAATTACATTGACGGGAGGCCGTGACTCTTATCGTGGTCGTGGAAGAAGTGGAAATTTTAGAGGAAGGGGCTCCAGTTTTCTTGGAAGAGGAAGAGTTTTTCCAAGTAATGAAAACTATTCAAATGAAGGAGATAATCAAATCTCAAGAGGAAGAGGGCGTGGCTATCAAAGAGGAAGAGGTCGTGGTTATTTTGAATGTTATAATTGTAATAAACCTGGTCACATAGCAAGTGAGTGCTGGTATAAGCAAGAAAAACAAAACAAAGTTGGTTTTGTGCATGAAAACAAGAGAGAAGAAATGAACCAACAAGAAACTTTGCTACTAGTATGTCAAGGTGAGGCTATGGACGACGTTTGGTACTTGGACAGTGCTGCCAGTAAACATATGACAGGTAACAAAGTAATATTTTCAAAGTTATGCAAAGTAGACCATGGGCAAGTAAAAGTTGGAGATGGAAAGGCCTATGAAATCGAAGGTGTTGGTGAAGTGGAGTTCAAAACAAAATCAGGCAGAATACAGAAGATTTCTTAAGTTTATTATGTTCCTAGTTTGAAGAATAATTTGTTGAGTATTGGTCAACTTTTGAAGAAGGGGTATGATGTCCACTTTCATGATAATTGCTGCATCTTGTCAAGGAAAAATCAACTTGTAGCAAAGGTTAGAGCAGCGGCAAATACTTTATTCCCTCTTACTCTTCAGACTGCAAATTTGTCTTGTATGACAAGTGTCGATAAAGGAATCTCCAAGTTATGGCATGGCAGATTTGGACACTCGAACTATGGAAGCTTGAAGTTGCTCTCAGCAAAGATGATGGTTTAAGGGATGCCTCAAGTTGATCTTATGGATGAAGTTTGTGAAGATTGTCAACTTGGAAAGCAACATAGAAATCCATTACCGTCTCACTCCTCATGGCGAGCAAAGAGGTCTTTGGAACTTGTTCATTCGAATCTATGTGGTCCAATGTCAGAAACTTCTCTAAGAGGTAATAGATATTTCATTTAATTTATTGATGACTATTCAAGAAAAGTTTGGTTTTATTTTCTAAAAGAAAAATCAGAAGCATTTCAAGTTTTTAAATAATTCAAAGCTGAAGTTGAAAGATATTCTGGTCTTCTAATTAAAACTTTGAGAACTGACAGAGGAGGTGAATACCTCTCAAATGAGTTTGAGAAATATTGCAAAGACCATGGAATAAGGCATGAAATGACCGTTCTGTTGGGTTTGTGGCTCAAAATTTGTGCAGAAAATTAGTTTCCTTTTTCGTTTTAGAAGGTTGAAATTATTAGAGGAAATTGTATCACATTATGTTTATATTTTAGAGTTTTGATCATTATGGTAACTCCTTGTGGGCAAGTTAAGGAATACTTGTCCAACAAGGAATTTGGTTTGAAGACTCTATAAATAGAGATGGGTGTAAGAGGTTTAGAGAGAGAGAGAGAGAGAGAGAGATAAGAAAAAAGACATAAGGGGTTTAAGGGTAAGTGTTGTGAGGAGAGAAGTGAGTATATGTAATTCCCGAGTTTATACATATAGCCTCATAAGAGATGATGAGTGAGTGAGTGGGGTTTTGACATGTGGTTGTATATTCTCTTTCTTGATTCATAATAGTGAAATCTCTCTCTCCCATGGACGTAACCCTAGAGTTGGGTGAACCATATAAAATACTGTGTCGTGCGTGGATGTGTATGATTGTTATCCCCATATATGCTTGTGTTGATGTGATGTGATGTGATGATGCTTCCGCTGTGTGTGATGAAGGAGGGATTTAACTCTTAACAACAGCCGACCGTTGAGTGGGTTGGAGGGAGTTAATTATCCCCAACACGTTCTACATACACCACAACAAAATGGTGTTTGTGAAAGAAAGAATCGGACAATCATGGAGATGGCAAGGTGCATGCTTAAAAGGAAGAAATTGTTGCGAAGCTTGTGGGCAGAAGCTGTTTCATGTGCAGTTTATCTAATAAACAGATCACCAACAAGAAGCCTAGAGAATTGCACGCCTTATGAGTCATGGTACGGATCAAAGCCAAGTGTTCACCATTTGAAGGTGTTTGGAAGTACTGCTTATGCACACATTCCAGATGTGATGAGAAACAAGTTAGATGACAAATCAGAAAAATGCTTTTTCATTGGGTATAGTGAAAGGAGCAAGGCTTAGAAATTGTATATTCCGAGGACAAAGAAGATTGTGATTAGTCGAGATGTTCGATTTGATGAAAATTCTTCCTTTGATTTTGAAAAGGATGATGCAGAAAATCTACCCATTTTTCCTGATGAAGAGAATGATTCACAATCTGAAAGTGAAAATGAAGACTCCTCTCGAAGTTCCACTCCAAGAAAGATGAGAAGTTTGCAAGAAGTCTATGATGCTACCGAGCAAATTGATCAAAATGCTGCTGTATTTTTTGCCTTCTTTGCAGGGGAAGATCCAATTTCTTTTGATGATGCATGTAAGGAAGAGAAGTGGAAGCAAGTTATGAAAGATGAGATTAAGGCCATTGAAAAGAATGACATATGGGAGCTCCCGGATCTACCTCCACACAAAGAACCTATTGGTGTGAAGTGGGTTTACAAGACAAAGATGAATCCAGATGGCTCCATCAACAAGTACAAAGCAAGACTTGTGGCAAAGGGGTATAAGCAAAAGGAAGGAGAAGACTATACTGAGGTATTTGCTCGTGTCTAGACTTGACAATGTTCGTTTGCTCATTTCTCTTGCAGCTCAAAACAATTGGAAGATATTTCAAATGGACGTAAATCAGCCTTCTTAAACGGCATTCTCAAAGAAGAAGTTTATCTTGAACAACCACCTGGTTTTGTGAAGAAAGGGAAAGAAGACACAGTCTATAAGCTGAAACGAGCTTTATATGGGCTGAAACAATCACCACGAGCTTGGTACAGCCGAATTAGTTCCTATTTTGAGAAGAACGGTTTTCAGAAATGTCCACATGAGCATACTCTCTACACCAAAATTAGTTTGCAAGGAAGCTTCATGGTTGTAAGCCTATATGTTGATGATCTTATTTTTACTGGAAATAATTTGGAAATGTTGAATGGTTTTAAGCTCTCTATGATGAAAGAGTTTGAGATAACAAATTTGGGAGAATTGCATCATTTCCTTGGTATTGAAATTCTTCAATCCAAGAAAGGAATATTCGTTTCTCAAGAGAGTTATCCAAATGACATTTTGAAAAAGTTCAAGATGGAGACAACTCCATGCATTACAGGTTTGAAGTTAAGCAAAGAAGGTGAAGGAAAGTTTGTTAACTCCACTATGTTTCGGAGTTTAGTTGGGAATTTGATGTATTTGACAGCAACTAGACCGGATATCATGTATGCAGTAAGTTTTGCGATATGTCAAAGGAACTATTGATTATGGTATTTTCTATGAAGCAAATGTTCCTGTTAATCTTGTTGGGTACACGGACAGTGATTTGGCAGGAAGTGTGGATGATAGCAAAAGCACTTTTGGCTATGTTTTTAATCTGGGAGGTAGAGCAATTTCATGGAGTTCAAAGAAACAACCAATTGTTGCACTTTCTACCACTGAGGCAGAATACATTGCTGCTTCTTTTGCAGGGTGTCAAATTCTTTGGCTGCGAGGAATTTTGGAAAGTCCCAAGCACAAGCAAATCAGTCCAACAATATTGTTGTGTGACAATAGTTCAACCATTTCAGTTACAAAAGATCCAGTTCTTCATGGGAGAACAAAGCACATCCATATTCGTTATCATTTCTTAAGGAAGCTTGTGAATGAAGAAGTTATTCTTGTCAAATATTGCAAAACAGATGAACAAATGGCGGACATTTTCACAAAGCCTCTTGGTGGACAGTTTTTCAAAAGAAATGTTGCAAGATTGGGAGTCAAAAGTAAATTTGGTTTACGGGAGGCATTGTTGGGACACTAAACCAAATTCTGGAAATTTCTGAATATTGAGTGTTGAAAGGTTCATTGTATTTGGAAGATTGAAGGCCACATATTAGGTTCATGGTTTTTGAAAGACTAAAAGATCTTAATTAATATGTATCTAAAGTATTCATGTATCTAGTGAATTCATGTACCCGCAAGCTATATATACAATCTGATGTATTGTGTTGATTATATGAAGAAAGAAACAGAAAGAATCATTTCAGAAATTAAAGTATTTTCTTCTTCTATTCTGTATTACTACATAAGAGTGGACAATCTTGCTGTGGTACTATTACAGAAAGATTTTCTTGTGCAAGTGCTTGATAACATGAGTGGTGGGCTATGTTACATGGACTCTTCAAAAGTAGTGAAGTACCCGTGTTGGACACCTATTGCTCGAACATGGGTATGGGACACGTGTCCGACACTTTTGATTGGACATGTACTTAAAAAGCATATCCAATCATTATCCAATTATATTATATTAGTACTTTAAAACGAGTTAAATACCTATATTGAACATTTTATTATATAAAAACATTACTTTACTCTAGAAAATAAAATAAAATAATTAATAAAATTAACATTTAGCCGTGTAAAATCCATTCCACTGCTAGATGTTTTCTTCTAAGTTAATATATTTCATGTACTACAAAGAATCAAATCGCTGATTCTTGTTTCCATTTTTTATTTTTTCCCTGAATTCTTGTTTCCATTTTTCTTTTTTATTTGGGTTTGGGCTGGGGGGTGGGAGGGCAATACAAAGATATGCTATCCACCTTTCATGGAATCACTAAGAATATTAATTTGAGATATTCGTGCTTTCCCTGTTAAATCTCACAATTTTGTTTTTTTTTTTTCTATAAATAGCATCAATAGAACATTCATAACAGCAGTCACAAACCATGTGCCACCCAGACAAAATGAACATTTCTTCATGTTATCTCATAGTTGTTTTGTCTTAGCTATCCTTAAGTTAGTGAACTTCTAGGGAAAAAGCTATCTAGCAGTTCATTAACGCATAAAAGCAAAACCAATTTCTATACCATTATTCCAACTTTTGGTTCCTTTATTTGACATTTATCTGTTGTGTGTGGTGGAGTGTCAAGATCCACCACCACAGTCAACAATGAAAATTCACATCAAGTAATACGACAATCCCACTTCTTTTTTGGAAGGTAAGCGAACTCGAAATGGGGCTCGAACTGCTCACCTCACCATTGGAGAGGAGAGCTCAAAGCGAACAATATTGTTGACTGTGGTGGTGGGTCTGGACATGGAAGGTGGGGGAAAGGAGAAGTGTATTGTAATGGAGCGTGCAGACCTGTTAATATTCATTATATATAAGTGTATGAACTATGAAGGGGAAATGTATGTTTATTACACATTTATATACAACAAAATCTTTAATGTTTAGTCAACTATTTTATTAGTTTTCTGTTTGTGATAGTGTTGTAAAGCATAAAACAGAAGTGAAGAGAGAAATGAAACACGAATAACACAAGGATATTATGTGGTTCAACCACTAGGGCCTACATGCACGATACAAAGAGCCCAAAAGATTACATCACTTTTATAATACTCTCTCAACTCATATACAATACAATGGCAAAGGCTCCTTTATATAGGAGAAGAAAGTATGAGAATGGAAAGAGAGAAAATAGGAAACAAGGAGGATTTTTATTCATCTGTAACATCAAATCTTCAATAATAGGAAACAACAAAAGATTTTCCTCCGCTGATTTTTTATAATACTCTCTCAACTCATATACAATACAATGGTGGAGGCTACTTTACATAGGAGAAGAAATTATGAGAATGGAAAAAGATAGAAAATAGGAAACAAGGAGGATTTTTCTCCACTGCTCTGTAACATCAAATTTTCAATAATAGGAAACAACATCAATTTCTGAAAGATTTTCCTCCACTGATTTCTCCATTAAATTTTCAATACTCCCCTTCAAGTTGGAGCATGAATGCCCAACTTGCCATTGAGATGACGAGCAACAAGTGTGAATGATGAAGAGAGAAGACAAAGAACAATTGAATTATATGATAGGTGGCTCTGATACCAAAAAGTAACTTGGTAAAATTGGCGTACTAAATTTGAGAGTCTGACTATCATTATATATAAGAGGAAAATAACAAATATGGGAAGAGAATAAAAATCAAATCCCTAAACAAAAGCCTAAACATTAGCCTATAATGAAGACTCAATAAATCTGCCACAATCATCGAGTCAACTTGTAGATATGATTTCCAACACTCCCCCTCAATAGGGAAGATATTAACCAAGCTCAGATTGACTATATCAAGACGTGAAACGACCGTATCCTTTCCACAATAAGATTGCAATGCTACCGAACACATTGGCAGCCCAAATAAGGCAATAAATACTGTTGGAGATATGGAAACGGTGAACACCAAGCTACTGAACACATTGGCAGCCCAACAAGACAAAGGACGATGCTACCAAACACACTGACAGCCCAATAAGGCAAAGGACAATGCTACCGAACACACCGGTAGCCCAACAAGGCAAAGGACAATGCTACCGAACACACCGGCAGCCTAAACAAGGCATAAATAGCACCGAGAGACCCTTAACACATGTCAAATACTAAGGGGATACCCCCAAATAAGGGGTCTTAACCTGGGAGGATAGCCTTCCCTACACCTGAGGGATCCATCCGAGAGATGAGAAAGATCCGAAACAAAGCTGGAAATACCGAAACAACGCCAGGAAAAAGGCCGTGAAATATTCTCTTGGGCCAAAATAAAGAGCTCCAACAAAACAGAGACCTTAAACAACCCAAAAAAGAGAGCTCCAACAAAATCAGACGATGAAAGAGAAATCTGAAAAATGACGCCAAGCACGTGGTGATGGTTGCTAGAATGAAATGGCAACGGAGACAGAGACCTTAAATCTGCAAGAAGGGGATGATGATGGACCGCCGTCGGAGATGAGGCTTATGCCGCCATCTCCGACGGTAGCTCTGATACCAAATTTAATTATATGATAGGTGGCTCTGATACCAAAAAAGTAACCTGGTAAAATTGACGTACTCAATTTGAGAGTCTGACTATCATTATATAAAAGAGGAAAATTACAAATATGAAAAGAGAATAAAAATCAAATCAAAAAAAAAATCAAATCCCTAAACAAAAGCCTAAACATTAGCTTATAATGAAGACCCAATAAATCTGCTACAATCATCGAGTCAACTTAAAGATATGATTTCCAACGGATAGTACAAAACATATGTGCTAAATTAAAAATCAATGGACAAACTTATATGCTGAATAAAGTAATAAACAAGACATAAGTTCCAAATGTCACCTTAAATTTGTCAGCTTCAACTAATTGGAAGACCAAAGCATCTCCCTCGAGCAATTTGTGTCCAACAGCAAACTTTTTCCACCCTGCACTGAGTCCCGACTTTTCTGCAAGGAATTTTAATTCAAATTGTTCCCCGCTTTCATCTTCCAAAATAAGAGTAGCATCCTTTTTTGGTAGGTGTGACTTGCAGAAGGGCACGGGGAGGCTCTGTTAACAAAAGAGTAGGTAACAGAAGAACTATCTCTGGTTTGTCCGATATTGTTCTATGCAATCCAATCTGTTTGAAACAGTGCTTACCATCCAAAAACCAGTGGAGACGTGCGATTTAACCATCAGTTTCGCAAAGCTAGGGAATTCAGTATCTAGACTAGACTGAACCTCCTCTGCTCGAATCAAAGTGGATGACTTAACTTCACCAGGACTATTTAATGCATTACTTGCAGTCTTTGCTTGCTTACAGCTTCAAAAACAATCAGGGACCTTTATTGTTATATCTACCAAATGCTTAAAAAAAAAAACAAAAAACAAAAAACAGAATTGAATAATGTAGACACTTAACTGACCTCATAGACTTCCCCACATGATCAAGTTTTACCTGTTCAAGAAATTATAAGATATTCCCATTAATAGTATACTCTGTTAGGTCGATAGAACTTGATTGACAAATTTCATACAAAACGGAATTCATAATATTGAATTTTAGCTTTCGTTTATGCTTTCGAAGGTTACTTAGATGAGTTACCTCTGTCAAAGGGCAAATAGGAGAATTCAAAGCTTCAACAATGGCAGAAAGGTAAATCAACTCTTATGCTACGTTTGGTGTGCAATAATGGAGTGGAATACAAGTGAGAATGGAATGAAATGGCCATTCTTATTCTATTGTTTGGTTGTAAATATGAAATGTGTAGAAATGAAAAGATAATAACCATTCTAGTGTTTGGTTGGACCAATTTTAAATTTAAAATGGAATAAATTTCAGATTTGATTCTCTAAAATATCCCTGTTAGTAAAAAATAAATTAAATTAACAAAATGACATTCTTCTATAATTTTTTTAAAAATAATTGGTGGTAGTGGCGATGGTGGATGGTGGTGGAGGTGGAAAGCGATAGTGGTGTAGGTGGTGGTGTTAAAAGGCAGCGACGGTGGCAATAGTGGAAGGCGACGGTGTTGGTGAAAGGCAGCAGTGGTGGAAGGCAGTGGCAAGAGTGTTGGTGGTGGTGGAAGGAGATAGTGGTATAGGTGGCGGTGGTTCCGCCAATGGAGGTGACTGTGGTGGTGGTGGAAGGCAGTGGAGGTGGCGGTGGTGGAAGGTGGTGGCGACGGTGGAAGACAGTAGCGGCGGTGAAAGGCGATGGAAGGCGATAGCGGTGGCGGCAGCGGTGGCGGCGGCGGTGGCGGCAGTGGCGGCCGCGGTGGTGGTGGCGATGGTGGAAGGTACTGGCAGAAGGCGGTGGTGGTGGAAGGCGGCGGCAGCGGCTGTGGTGGTGGAAGACAGTGGCGGTGGTGGTGGTAGAAGGCGGTGGCGGTGGCGGTGGTGGAAGGCAGTGGCGGTAATGGTGGTGAAAGGCAATGGCGGTGGTGGTGCCAACGACGGTGGTGAAAGGTGGAGGTGGTGGTGGAAGGTGGAGGTGGAAGGCGGAGGCGGCGGCGGCGGTATAAGACGGTGGCGGCGGTGGTGAAAGGCGGCGGCGGCAGTGGTGATGGAAGGCAGTGGCTGTGGTGAAAGGCGGTGGCTGTGGTGGTGGTGGAAGATGGTGAAAGGTCATGGTGGCGGTGGTGGTGGAAGGTGGAAGGTGGTGGCGGTGGTGGCGGTAGCGGTGGTGAAAGGCTGTGGCGGAGGTGATGGTTGGGGCAAAGGAAGGCGATGTCGGTGGTGAAAGGCGGTGGCGGTAGTAGAAAGTGGTGGGTGGTGGTGAAAGTCGGTGGGGGTGGTGGAAAGCAGTGGTGGTGGTGGTGGTGAAAGGTGGAGGTGGTTGTGGTGGAAGATGATGGTGATTTTTGGACTTGGAATATGAGGGTTTTTTGGGAAGTTGATTTTTTTTTTTTAAATTACTTGGGAATGGAATAGGTTTAGTTGTGGAATGGATTTTCATTACCAGGAATGGATTTTCATTCCAATGGAATGACCATTCCCACTTTAAATTGCATACCAAACAAAGGAATGGTTGGAATGGGCATTCCATTCCATTCCATTCTTGCATACCAAACGCAAGATTAGTATTTTGCACCCACCAAATTAGGGTCATATGCGTGCATTCACATGATTAAACATATTGTGAATTCACTAAATTACTAGATCTTTGTTTCATTCATCAGTCATATAGAGGTGGAGTATCCATGAGTGACATATAAATCCTAGAGCTTCAAGGAATTCAAGTCTTCAATGCCACAGCAAATACTACACAACAAACAAAGGATTGGACATAACTAGTCATAGAGATCAAAGCACAAGTTGAAGAGCGGATTACGTGAAGAGCAGATTCGTTGACTGACAACACAGTCAGAATCATTAGGGAATTTTTCGGTTTAGTCCAGAAACTTATTGTATACATTGCTTCTGATAGTGAATTTTGATCTGTTTGGAGTGGTCCCATGGTTTCTTCCTCTAGGGTTCTTCAGGTTAAAATTGGTGTTCTTGCGTGTGGATGTTTTATGATTTATGTTTCAGTATTCTACCTATTTTTACATGCTTATTGATTGTTATTAAATTTCAGTTGAAATTTGAAATTCAATTGAAGTTAGTTATTTACTTTTCAAAATCTATTCAGCCCGCTAAGTCTAGTTCGGGCCTTACTGTACTCTGAATATTAGAGCCTAAGAATATGGTCCTATTCTTTGTACTCCACTTACATAGAACTAGATAATCATACATTTATGTTATTGCTCCTATTTATTTGTGAAAAGTTGAAGGTATTATTATGAAGGTTTCGAACGTGCAGAAAACTATTAAAGAGAGAGAACATGATGAAGTTCATGAGCCCTTGCGACCAGAATGAGGAAAGAAAATATAACAAGCAGTTTAAGCGAACTGGATAAAAAGCAGAATAATGAAACCATGGTTTTGAAGCTCCCAGAGTAAGAGATCATAGGCTTTATTGAGTGGCAAAGGTAAGTGGCTCAATTTGATACCTTCCATCCCTACTAGAGCATTTAGAGCCCTAGAAGTTTCGCCATTATAAATCACCTAAATTACACAATACTTATTAAATTAGTTTACCCATCCGAAGGCAATTTCAATTGTTTCTTGTTGCATCTGCGTCGCATCAAGATAAAAATATTCGGTTAATTTGTTTCTTGTTGCTGCTTTAAAAAGATAACAACTTATTGCTCTCATATTTTTTCTTTTTTGATATGTCATCTATCAGATTAAAAGTATGTCTCACTATCAATGGCTAGATTTACTACATAGAAGTAGATTAAACAGAGTTGAGTCGCCTTTGTGTTGACAGGACAGAGTGTGAAATGGGATTCTGAAATGGTTAACCATCAGAGAACCCTGGAATGAGCTATGTATTCTCCTTTTACAACTTCAATCTACTTAAACCCAATACATACCCTATTATTTCTTGTCAGATTTTAAGTTCTAGTCTTCATTGTGAATGAATCGCCATTCCTACTGAAACAAGCTACCTACAATTGAAGGTGATGTACAAAGGGCTGCCTATAGCGGCTGCATTCGTTTCTCTTAGCTTCTTCCTTTGCCTGGGGGATCGAATTCTAAATCTTGATTAAGAGGCCACTAAATCGCCCCACTTCCATTGCTAGAGCTAACTAGAGCTTCGGAAGCAGCACGACAGTCTATTATCATGGTTCTTTCTTTTTAAGGTTTGATTGGGGACTATTTCATATTCGTTAGGTTCAAAACTCACATTAACTATCCAAAAATGATATTCAGATAGGTATACAGGATCAGCAGCAGCTCGGTGAGCATCAATCGAAGTAAGATATTAGCAAGAAACAACAAATTCAATAATTAAGAAGAAAAAAACAGAGATATAAAGTTTTAGAAGAAAAATTAACAATGATGGCAAAGAAATCAACCCTCACCTGCTTTAATTTGGAACCCGAAGCCTTTCTCCTCTTGACTATTAAAGATTCAAAAGTATAATCCTTCATCACCTTCGGCTTCTTCAATCTACCCTGCCAATAACAATCCAGATCTAACATTAATTAAGAAAATTCATATATATATATATATATATATATAGAGAGAGAGAGAGAGAGAGAGAGAGTAGAAAGAGAAACCATGGAGGAAGTGGTGTCGAGATTCGCACTATCTTCCCTAGATTTGAGTGTCTTCTCTGATACTGCCCATTCCTTCTTAACCATCTCTTCATCATGATCAACATCACCTTCCAACTCTTGACGTTGCTCAACTTCACTCATCTTCATCTCTCAGACCCAAAACACAGTTTGCTTTTTACTGTGTATATGTGTGTATGCGACGACTGTGTGTATACATGTGTGTGTGAGAGAGAATAGGATAGCCCAGACTCGGACAGACAGTCAAAAATGGCCGTTTAGTTAAAAAAAAACAAAAAAGTCCCAAACCCTAAAGCCCTGATTTCACTTTCACTTCTCCATTAGTACCATTTAGGTAAGATGCAAAATGGTTCGGGACTGACAGATTCGATGAATAGAAACCCTAATTTAATCGATCAACTCCAATTTATTATCAATAAGTTCAGTAATTTGGATCCATTTGGTTTAACGAACTTTATCTGTTTCACTAATTAGGTTTAATGTGTAATCAAAGCTAATGAGTGAAAAATTAATTAGTCCAGTTATTGATTGCAAATGATTAATACTCCGTCACTCTTCTGGGGTGCCGTGACTCTCAATCTGTGAGAGTTCGGTTTCCCAAAAGAAACACATTTTTAAAAAATAGAGGGAGTAATTAATATGTCAGCAAATGCTATTAGCAACTGCTTTACTTGATTTTTTTTTAAGTAAAAAATAAACTAATTAACTTTTATATTATTTTTCAATTTGTGCATATAAAACCTTCTTGAGCAAATTGACCTATACTCATCAATTTTGACCATTTTTTTTTTTTTTTTAATGTGCACATCTGGTTTTTGACCAAATTATCAGCATTTGGGTTTTTTTGACCATATGTTGACATTTCCTAGAATTAAAATGTGAACATTAAATACTTAATGCGCCATTTGTTGGGGGAAAAAAAAACCATATGGTTTTGTACCATATTGCTGACTCATTTTTTCCAGAAAAAATCGAATTCTCAAGTTTGAAAAGAAGAGATAATACCCCTTGAAGTAAACATTTGACGGTCATGAAAAAGGTCCCATAGTATGGCAAGGGATCCAAGGAGTGTAGGGTAGGATTAATCCTTGGACATCATATTTGGTAGACTCGTTAGGGTCGTCACTTTTTATTGTCGAAGGATCCAAAGTGTCTAAATTGGTGATATCATTATATAGCTCGGGACTAAATCACTCAATTATTTTCAATAGATGTCGTTTTTATGTTCTGAACGTGTTTCTGCTTTTATGTTCTGAACGTGTTTCTGCTTTTATGTTCCGAACATGCTCTTGCTCCCATTTTTATTCTGTGTGACTTAAATTTTGCCGCTTCTGAACTCCTATTCTCGAATTTGCTTTCGCTCCCACTTCCCTTTTTGCTTTATGTGACTTAGGTTCGGGATCATATGGTCTCGTCCAATAAGGGGCGGAGCCAGGATTTTATTTCAAAAGGGGCACAATGCACTTGTTAAATTTTTTTTTTTTTTTTTTTTTTATAAATATGACAATATAATTTTTTAAATCAAAAAAGCAAATAAGAAAAAAATAGTTGTAAAATAATATACTAAATAAATACCGTAAAAAAATATATAGTTACAAATATAAAAATCAAAATATTAATTAATAATATTTTGATTAAATACAATCACAAATGTCATCGATAAAAGAAATAAGTTTAAAAAAATAAAAAAATACATAATTATACATAAGCGAAAAAAGAAATTTTTTGAAAAGTGAACAAAAATTAGAAAAGGAAAAATATATTGTATATTTGAAGAAGGGATATATGTAATTTTTTTTTAAAAAAAAAAGGAAATTAAAATAATTTGAAAATTTGAGGGGGGCAATATTTAAAATTACCATATAAGTATATATATATACAAAAAATATGTACCTATATATAGTAGGTTGGAACAAAGTGAGGGGGGACACGTGCTCCCTCTGGGCCTTAATTGACTTCGCCCCTGCGGCCAATTATAAGTGGACATACCAACAAATGTGTTAATTTTATTCAAGTTATTTTTGATTGCATGTCCACCTGTAATTGGGCTGCTTGTTAGTGTAATGAAGTAGCTAAATGGGCTTATGTCTCAGGAAAGAAAAAAAAAAAAAAAAGGCTAAATGGGCAATTGGTTGTTCTGTTTCATTTGTGTCTTGGACTACTTGGTTGTTTGTAGGTCAAACAAGACAAGAAGCATTTTAGGAATACAGTTTAAGCCCAATTAGCAAATAGCTTTGGCCCGTTTTATATTTCAAATGAACTCATTGGACTGGAGCAGAAACGATTAAATCACTTCTTTTTCCCATTTTCTTTTTCTCTAAATTACAAATCATTTTAGTTTTATCAAAAACAACTTCGATAGTTAAGATGATTAGAGTCGGTTTGGTTTGTCTCTCAAAAAATAGTTACGAAGAATTTAAAAATTATAACTATAAAAGACTATTCTCTGAAAATATGTCATTTTATAACTAAGTTTTCAGGACCAAACAGAGATTTTTTTTTTTATTTTTTATTTTTTATTTTTATTTTCTGAGTGACAAACCAAGCAGGGCTTTCCCTTTTCAGCATTATTTCCATAGTTCATCACCGAGCACATGTAATACCCTCATCCTATATGCATGGACTTGACAATGACTTTTTTTTAATTTTATTTTTTATCAACAATGGTGGTGTCAGACTTCTTAAATCATCTCATAGTTCATTATCGAGCACATGTAATTCCTCCATCCTATATGCAATAGAAAATGACCGAAAAATTATAAAATTACAATCCAATCCCATATGCACCAGACAATTACCGAAAGAAAAAATGAGTTTTGTACAAACAAAAAATTGATTTCCAGCAACAATGAGCTGTTACAACCTAATACTCAATCTTTTCAAGCGAGTATAAAGTCTTAATATAGTTTCATATGATATCATAGAAAGCTTTTCATCCAAGGGGAGGAAATAGTAAATTTTGATTTATAGGGTAATTCCATTCAAATTGGACTCGTCCAAGGTGAGCTATGGCGTGACATAACAAATTTTTAAAGACCAATTATATATGAGAAATTATTTGAAAATCGACAATTCAAAAAAATTGTAGTGCAGGTACGGATTCTACCACTATTGTGCGGTGGTGAGCTGATCTTATTTGATATTCGAAGTGTTCGGACATAAGCCACATAAAGTGAATCGGGAGCGAGAATGAATTCAAAAATAAAAATGTAAAAGTGACAAAATAAACTAGCAAATAGTGAGAATGAGAGTGAAAACACGCGAAGCTTGAGCGGTACCGACGGATCCTATATCAATGCTCTTTATATATAAGATAAAACATTATTATGAAAAGAAAATTCTTAATTGCACTTGAGCAGGCTTAAGCCAATTGACCAAAGTAGGATATCTTTATTGAAAATATAGTATTACAAAAATCTAACTAAAGTCAATAAAAATATCGTTTTGATAGATGTACTTATTGGAAAGTTAGTAGAATTGATAGATATACTTTTTTGATAAGAAATGTTTGATAGATTCTTGGAGTAGCAAATTTGTTACAACTATCATTATTAGTTTGAATAAGAAATGTAAAATGATTGTGAAAATGTGAATGATAGTTGATTTGATAAAATACACCATTGAGAGAGTGCCATAAATTTAATGATGGACATGTTGGCTTTTATCGACCTAAATTTGTCTAATTTAATAATGAAGCCAAAAAAAAAATGAATCAATGATCAAAGTGACTCAGAAGTGATAATCATAGTGATTTGCCTTTTGACATTGTAAAGATTTTAGAGTTGCTGCAGAGCTGAGTTGTGACTGGTTTGGGTGGCGGCCTCCGTCAAAAACAAAAGATATATATATATATATATATATATATATATATATTCAAGTTTTTAAAATATATATATGTGGGTGTGGGTGTGGGTGTGGGTGTGGGTTAATTGAGTATCTTGTTGGTATTATATATATATATATATGGTCCCACCTTACACTTTGAAGAAGTGTGATAATAGAGTAATGCTAAGTGACTGGGATAAGATGTGGCACTAATTATAAGATGAATATATATCCTCAATTTTAATATATATTACACTTTTTTATTTTTTTTATTAAAGTATTAACATATTTAAGTTATATTTAAATTAAGAAAGAAACTTATCAAAAAAATAAATTAAGAAAGCAGACAAATTAAAAAATGAGAGATGGATTTGGATTATATATAGTGACTTACCCATTGAAGGATAAGTGAGAACGAACACTAAATTAGGTTTCTCTATCTAATTTTCTTTTTCCTGTTTTTATCTTTTATATATATATATATATTTCTTTTTGCACTCGAAACTTTATAATTATAATAAACATGAAGTTAATTATCTATTTTTTAAAAATTATTCACACATGTAGATTGTTTAGGAAATTAGATTTCTTATTTGAGAGAAAGAGGACTTAAAATATAATTTAAAGAAATTTTAAGTGAATTATGTATTTATTTAATCATTCACACATAAAAGTTGGTTGAAAATAGTAGAATTCTTATTGGTGAGAAAGAGTTAACCTTAAAACTTAATTATGTGAGGGTCAGATTTACTAAATAATTTTTCCTATTTTTTCTCTCAATTCTGCCATGTATTCTCTAGACAAAATCCCTTCTATAATACACAAATTTAAGTTGCCATATATCAGTCACAAAGTTGCCATATCATCTGCCATGTAATTCAAATTATTTTCATGATACAATAATTTGTGTTGTTTAGCATTTTTCGTTATAATAAGGTGCACCTCATTTATAATATTCAGGAAATTTTCACTTTTTTTATTTGATTCTTATTATTTATAAATTTATACAGAGACAATCAAAGTAGATATGTGAGTGTGTTTCTAGTCAAAATAAAAATAAAAATACAGAGACTTGACTCATACAAAGAAAATAATATAAGGATTATATGCTTAAAATTTCATATCAAAATTCATTTAGCAAATCAGAATTTGGTCATACTTATACATCTTCTTCACTTTGATTAATAACAAGAAAAGAAAAGAAAGTAAATGAAAATTCTTTTTAAACACTGTCAATAGTTAGAACAACATGATAAAGTAAAATTTTAAGAGAAAGTAATTGTTCATAACCACCTAACATTTTCTTCAAAAAAAAATTATTAAAAAATAAAAGAAAATTTTGATTTCTTAAAAAAAAAATATATATATATATATATATATATATATATTACTGAAGTTTACGATAATAGCCTTTCTTTTCTTATAAAGTTCATGCATTCCAAACCATGAAATGATAATTTTTTATAGTTTTCTTGCGAAGAAATTAATTTCATACTAATCAAAAATGCATTTTAAAAGTCTATCTTTTCTTTTGTTCACTTTACATTTTTTTTTTTCTTTTTTTACTTTTACTTTTCACTGTTTGTTTTCATCAATCAAACAAACCCTTAAAACATTTTGGTATGAATATTTTTATGACAAGGCGGCGATTTTATATGTGCAGATTTTGAGTTCTTGACAACCAGTGCACCTGTCAACATACTTACTCTGTTGTTTCTATCTGTTCTGTTCTTTTCTTTTCCTGCTCCCTTGTAATTGGTTTTGACTTTGATATATTATAAACTCACACCACTTTCTAAAAAATAAAAAATAATAACAACAATGATGGGGATTCGAATTTTAGGTTTCAAATTGGATTGGTTATTACTTCCTCGGCAAATGTCTCCCAGTCCAATTGGTTAGAGCTTAACGTAATTTGGAGTGTCCAAACTCGAAGTTATGCATCTACTAACATCATTTAACATCTACTATTTTTTATTTTGAAAAAAGAAGAAGGTTATATTACTCCCTCCAAATCAATTAATTATTCATTTTTTATATTATAACTTTTGAAGGGGATATGCAATTAATGCATTATTCTTTTTTAAAATTACCGGCATTGTATTTTTAAATTTAAATGGGTATGTTACCAAGTTGGGAGATTTTTGAAGATTCAAAAGGATAATTTTTTTTTTTTTTACTTTGACTTGACAAATGAGACAACTAATTTACGACACTCTGAAAAAGAATAATGTACTACTAATATGAAACATATGTTTTATTAGTAGAGTAATGCTACTATGAGGTCTCTCTCATGAGATTCTCACCTATTTTTTTTTTGGTCATAATTATGTACAAATATTAAGACACGAACTCAACTACTTGAGAGAGGACTAAACAAAGATTATAGAGTTAAAATTTCATTCAAAAATTCATTGACAATAAATTACACGGGTCGGTCAAAATTAATAATGTAATTTTAACAAGAAAAAAAGTGTAAAATTTTGATGTGATCTACTATTAATGAATTTTTTAACAAAACTTTCTCGTTTAGTCATCTTTCACGTTTTTGAACTCGTGTCTCAATATCCGTACGTAATCATGACAAAAAAATTGAGAGCTCATGAGGAATCTCAGGAGGGGACCTCATAATAGCATTACTCTATTATTGTTATATACTCTATTAGTCCCAAATAAGTGTCCCCTTTTGCTAATCCAACTTCTTAAGAGAATGATTTTCGTTAATTTTTTATTATATTAATGATGAATGAATTATCAAATATATTTTTAATTGATCAACCTCATTTAATTTTTATAAAAAGATTAAACTGATAATATTAAAAAAATAATAATGAGACTTATTTTGTAAGAATAAAATTGAAAAGGTTGACATTTATTTTAAAACAAAAAAAATAAATAAATAAAACAAAAAAAAACTTATAATGACAGTATATTATCTTAAGAACTTTTGATAATTTATTGAGAATTGAAAATGAAATTCCAACTAATTACCCATTCAAAATATATATTATATGGAAGTATATATATATATAACGTGTATCTATTTGTAACTAATTCCTTAGTATAATAATTTGACCAAGAAAATGGTAAATCACATGAACAGCAGCGCAGCAGCCCCAACACTCACGCCTCTGCGGTCTGCATATGCAATCGCATACGGAGAACTAACAAGTCTAATATAAATAAATTAGAATAATCCCCCGAGACCCAGTGTATGGTAACCACATACACCTTTGCTACGAACGGTTCGATTCTGTAAGTGGGCCCAATGATATGTGCATTTAGATGCCACGTGGTGATCTGATGGTGTCCTCCTGAGAAAAGAAACTCCAATAGAAGTGACATGATCAATGAAAAAGAAATGAAACGGAAAGTCAAAACATTTCTACACAATCCATCTGGTGATTCTCTCTCTCTCTCTCTCTCTCTCTCTCTCTCTCTCTCTCTCTATATATATATATATATATTGTTTTCTAAATATCTTTTGCTGGTATCCTGCTGTTTGATTCTGGTTGGGTTTTAGGCGTTTGTTCTCTCTCTCTCCGTCATCATTTTGCAGCCCACGACTCTCTCTCGCTCTCTCTCTCTCTCTCATGTTATTTGTGCCTCTCTTCTCTCTCTCTCTCTCTCTCTCTCTCATGTTATTTGTGCCTAATCGTGTTAGGAGCTATAAATCTGAATTGGGTTTCAGAGTTGTATTCTTATTCCTATAATATCTAGTGTATAGATAGATATGCCAAGCACTTTGAAAGAATGGTTGAAGATAATCTATGTGGTCTTTGCCTTCTGCTCTGCCCTCTGTTTGGGTGCACTCAAAAGTTTGTTCTTCTTCTTTTTCTGTACTTTCAATTTTCTTGCAGTTCTTGGTTCATTTTGATTAAAGGGTTCTTTTATTTTGATGATTTTTCTTGTATATATATGTGTGTGTGTGTAATATGTTGTTGCATGTTGCAGGTTTATTGGTGGGCCCAATTGCTTGTTTGATACTGATAATAGGAAATGTTGGTGTGATTTTGGTTCTCTTCCCTGCACATGTTGCTTGGACTGTCTACACCATTGTCAAGTGACTGCTTCTAAAACCCTCTTCTTCATTTTTATTTTATTTTATTTTTTTTTTTTCAATTCTTCAATTATAAACATTTGTTGTATGTTGCTTTTGATCATTGAAGATTGAATTTCAAGTTGTTGATTAAATTCTTTGACAAATTTTACAATTTCAGGACTAGTAGATTTGATGCACCACTTAAAGTAGCTATCCTATTTGCTTTGCCTGCTTTATTTGGTATTTGGTTGGGTCTGAGCATAGCTGCTAGTGTTCTTGTGGGAGTGGGCTATGGGTTCTTCACTCCCTGGGTTTCTGCTTTTGAAGCCTTCAGACATGAGAATGAATCCAAAAAGTTCTTCCATTGCGTTGTGGTAAACTCTCAAATTTCCCTATCTGTCACCCTATTAGGACTTTTTTTTTTTTTTTTTTTTTTTTTTTTTTTTGGTGTGTAATTAAACTATTTTCCCTTTTTTTTTGGTCCTTTTTTGTTTTTGTTTTTGTTTTTTTTTTTTCCTCAATAGGATGGGACTTGGGGAACTATCAAAGGGAGCTGCACCGTGGTTCGAGATTTTGCTGACCTTTGCTATCATTCATACCCACTCTACTTGAGAGAGTTGCGCGAATCCCCCTGTTCGAATGAGCTCCAACCTCTTAGGTAATGTTGTTTTTAATTGGTATTTGAATTATAAAGTTTTCTTATTTTGCAATTAGGAAGGTGAAATATCATGTAATTTGAATTTCATAGCTATCAAATTAGTATGTTCATTACAAAATTTGTAACAACGCGACAATGGATGCAAAAAAAATTGAATAAAAATTCACTTATTTGAAAAAAAATTAGTATTCCATTACAAAATTTTTAACAACATGACGATGGATGCAAAAAAATGGAATAATTGAGTTGTTTGTGCTGTGCGAAAGAATTAGAATTCACTCAATTGAAGCAATCTTGCAGGTTTATATATGTGCCCGGATGTATAATTGTTGGCCTAATGGGACTAATTGTGGAGATTCCACTTTACACGGCTATTGCCATCGTCAAGAGTCCATACATGTTGTTCAAGGGCTGGCACCGGCTGATACATGACCTAATCAGCAGAGAAGGTCCATTTCTAGAAACAGCTTGTATACCGATTGCTGGTTTGACAATCCTTATGTGGCCACTAGTCGTAATTGGGAGTATCATAATGGCTGTTTTTTCGAGCTTCTTTATAGGATTGTATGGAGCAGTTATAGTATATCAGGTCTGCTTGAATCCAAACATATAACCTTTGTATTGTTAACTTTGCTGCAGTGCTGCCTTAACACTGACTTAACGCGTAAACCTTGATGTAAATGTAGGAAAGGTCTTTCCGGAAAGGTGTTGCTTATGTGATTGCAATGGTTGCTGAATTCGATGAGTACACTAATGATTGGCTTTACCTCCGAGAGGGTTCTATCCTCCCAAAGTAACCATTAGTCCAGTCATTTCTTATTTTCATTTTAACTTGTTAAACAATGCTTTTATAGGCCCTCTACACTGTATTGGGTAATGTTTAACGGTAGAAATCATCTTTATCCCTGCCAGGCCCCGATATCGGAAGAAGAAAGTCTCTCCCACATCAGAGTTCTCTGTTGGGAAGAATAATTCATCTGAAGGCAGAATCACCTCTGTTTTCACAGAAGCACCTGCAATACTTATGCCTAGCTTATCATCTTCAAGGTCGGTTAGAATGGCGATACAAGAAGTGAAAATGGTGCAGGTATGCTTTTTCGTAATGAGGCACAAATATGGGTTTTCTTCTTCATTTTGAGATCTCATACCTGTAATTTGTTAGGTTTATTGGAGTTGAAAGAAAATTTCTTGCTTCTAAAATTTGAACTAATGCTTTGACTTGAGATTTAATTTGTATAATGTAATGCGTTCACTTGAGCTCCTGTGCTGTTAGGTTACATTTGTTCTTTCTTGAAAACTGCAGTTAGTTTAAAAATCTTAACCGAACATCAATGGCAAGAGGGTAGTTACCGTTGGAATTTGTCTGCCACATTGGGATATATATATAAATGTTGCAGTCTAGAATACATGCTAAAAGATGAATATACTGAATAGATTAGATTTTATACAAAACCATCTCTTCAAATGAATAATATGACAAGCTACATGAATTTGAAAAGGAAAAAAATTTCCATACTCTTTCATTTTCGCATTTATTGATTTCTCAGGGTGAATTACTTTGTCAATATATATTATCGGTGTCATATATTGCATATAAACAACTAAATGTATTATTAGTTATTATTGATGTAGATCGTTGCTGTGTTTACATTTGGCAAAAACAGAAGAAACAATAAAAAGAATGGGTGCTATATTATGTTATTGGGAGAGTTGGAGCATCATAAAAGCTGGATTTAGCCAGCATTAGGTGAATTTCCCAAAAAAAAAAAATATATGATTATTGTGTAAGAACTAATTCCTTTCTTTTTTGTTATTTTTTTTTTAGGTTAATTTAATTTTCCATTATGTTTTGGCTCAAAATGCCACAGGTATGGGGAAACATGATGAAGTCGTGTGAAATGAGGGGTAAGGAATTGTTGGATGCCAATGTGATAACACCGGCAGACCTCTATGACTGGTTGAAGACAAAAAATGGCAATGAGGCAGCCATTGTTGGTGTCGGGTTGCCTTGTTATGCATTTTTTCAGACTCTCCTTCACTCCATTAAAGCTCGATCGGATGGTCTATTGCTTCTCGATGATCTTGAAATCACCCAGCTTAATAGACCCCATGACAGATTGTTGGATTGGTTCTTCCAACCTGTAATGGTCCTAAAGGAACAGATCAAGGTCATGGAATTGGGAGAAGGTGAGGTAAGGTTTCTGGAGAAAGTTGTTCTTTTCGGAAGCGACACACAACACATGGAAACTTGGAAAAATGGCAGTGTAGTACCTGTAGATGCTGTAAGAGCTGCTCAAATTGATGGCATCAGCAGAAGGTAAGAACCTATACAGGACATGACTGACTTTGGCATGTTTGTTATTTGAAGATGGTGTCTTTAATTCTATTTGTTGGAATTGGTAACCTTATCTCCCAAGGAATAAAACTTTCAACGGCGAAGAGGAATATGTCAAGAGTAATCAATTAGAATGTGTATATAGAAATGTCATCACTACATATACAACAAAACTGCCCTTGCCGTCACTTTCACTACGGCCAGGGATGGTCAACGCTGATGTGACAAGTTTTTTTTGGCCGGGAAGACACTTTTGTCCAATGCTTGTGGTGCGAAAAGACAATTATACCCCCAATTTGAAGGGTATATTTGTCATATATAGCTAAAAAACTTGCCACATCAGACTTAACCATAACGGCTGGGGTCATTTTGTCACACACATGTAATTGGAAGGGACGCAAATGTAATAATCCAAAACGAGGGGAGGTAAGTGTAATTTACCCTTGTTTTTAAGAAGGACAAGATCAACCCTTGATTTATAACCTTAAAACATGATGATGGATGATTAAATTGGCACACAATGTCTAAACATGATCTAATTCTGGCACTTAATAACAGGAAATGGACATGTTAATTATTTTATTTCAATTACTTCTATTGACTTTCCTCCTAAATGAAACTTCTTTAGCTCTTTCCTTCCAATTTTCTTGATGGAAGATGACTAATTCTCCGAATGCTGCTGATATTCTTTTGACAGGATGATGGGAATGATAAGAAGTGTGACAAAGTTTCCCACTTACAGAAGGAAATTTCGCCAGATTGTGAAGGCCTTAATTATATATTCGATAGAGAAGGAGGGTTCCATCCGATCAATTTCTAGTAGATCAGTCGCTTCTGTCGAAATTGTGTAGAAGGAACTTCAATCAATTTGTCACTTTTTGTGTTTATAGATGCTCATAGTTTATGAAATCATTTTGGTTATAGTGTAAATATGTATCTTGATTAGAGGCTTTGTTCAGTTGTGTATATCATTTTTTGATTCTGGCTGGAAATCGGTTCAATTTGAGCAAGCAGCATGACCATGCTCCCCCTACCATCCTTATGAACAAGCAGAAAGTTTTTTTTTTTTTTCTTCTTCTTCTTCTTCTTCTTCGAAAGTTCACCCACAGGTAGGGCTGCAAATGAACCACTGAGCCGAGCTTGAGTCTATTTGGACTCGGCTTGTTCATTTGTGGGCTCACAATGAGCACAGTTTGGTACCATGCTCGTGACGAGCTCAAAAAGCTGAGCTCGGGCTTGACACGTTTAATAACAAAATTCGTTCAGCCTCGATTTGAGTTTGTGTTCATGAATTTATATGAGCTTACACAAGCCTATATATTCATGAACAAAAGTTCAAGACTCTTAGCCTATATGTGTTCACGAGCCCATACAAATTAATGTTCATGATATATACGAGCCTAAACTAGTTTAGAAATTGAGCTTGAGTTTGACTCGTTTGTTTAACGAATTGGCCCAAATTGAATCTTAGATGACTCAAGCCCACAAACAACTTGGTTTATATGCAAACTTACCCACTCCCACAGTTGGAAAACAGATATTATGTGTTGGAAAAAAACTACATTAGTTTACAAATCAAGTGAGTAGTACAAAACGTGTTTGGTTCAGGTTTAAGAACAGTATGAGTTTAAAATTTTGTTAGTTACTAAAACAGTTGAATCGTGTGAAATTTTGAAAATTATTTTTTAAAGCTACACCAAACAGGCCTATGTCTTTAGTAAAATTTCAATCCAGTTCATGCATATTAAGTGAAACTACAGTGTCTAGAATTCAAATCGAAAGAGATGAGACGTATCAGGAAAGCTTCACTCCCCTGACCCCCTCTCCATTTGCAATCATTCTCACTTTCTCCCGCAAGAGCTCAAGCTGTTTTCTTCATATTTTACCAATATGATCATTCTTCTCCTCCAATTTTTTCACGCACCTATATATATATATATATATATACATATATTTCAGTATGTATTGTAAGCATAATGAAATTAGGAGTAAGCCAGATTGCTTGTTGCTATTGCCAATTTTCATATTTATTTTCTCACACACATTTTTTAAATTCTTCCACAAAGGGCCTCAAACCAGTCACCGCTTTGAAGGAGGAGATTACACCACTGGTCATTGGTTCATTGGTGCCAAATTTCAATCCTAGTGGCCAAATTGGCCTCCTCTAGTCATATGTATAAACAACAAAATAATATTATATATATATATATATTACTATGTTATTACATGCTATATAAAGTGCCTCGCGCGAGAATCAGAATCGGAATCAAAATGCAGGATGCTGGAATCTGCAAGCATGTGCTCCTCCTCTTTGCAACTCTTCCCTATCATTGTAAAACCAAGACACCCCAGTATGAAGCGACTGCTCAAAGTTCCCAAAACCCAAATTATAGGACCACCTCTCCCCCATATATCTATATATATATATACACACACATACACATATATATATATATATATGTACAGTAAATATATGTATGTATATGCAGGGTAATAAAGGAAATATAGAAATTAATCATGAGTAGTGTTGTATCTGGTAGACTCTCTCTTCCCACAATATCACACGGGATGAGATCAGCTTTCCCAATCTTCAACACGTGTCCGTAGCTTACACGGCAATCAGTCTCTGATCTCTCTCTCCTCTCTCCCTCTCTCTCTCTCTCTCTCTCTCATCCGCAAAGTACCAATACCATTCGCCTCCTTTCTCATCAAGTCACTGTGATATTTATTATATTATTCTGTACCAAATTATCATCACTTTCGTTTCCCAACAATCTCCACAAAACAATCTCAACCATTCAAAAAAACAATCACGATTAAATGGAATAAAGTACTACAAACTAGCTAATCCACAAAAATATGCTTTTTTGTTCTGATCAATTTGTCATGAAAATTAATTGCAGAAATGAAAGATAGATATCACAGAATGTGTACTGAACATAGCACAGAAGAAGAGGGCACGAAATTTGGGGCTAAAATTTACTGTAATTTATTAGAAGCTTCTTCGTACCAGAAGAAACAGAGTTTAACTGTTCATCAACCTAAAACAGCTCTCCTACTGGAACTTAAAACGAAAATGAGAGCTAAAAATAAAATTAATTAGTATATTTGATGAATTTAACAGTATAATTTCAAAAGAAGCCATCAATTATTGGTTTTCGTTTCTTGATCTAGGCTTCCATTGATGTTCCTTCGTGTTCATGGCTTTAGTCGAACCCACTCGTAAGGACCTTCCAATGGCTGTTCCTTCTCGAAGTCGAAGTTGTACCTGCAACATCATGAATTTAGATTCATATATTGTAATTTAACTTGCTGAAGAAATTGACTGACTGATGAGTGGCTGTGACTGACTTCTCTTTTAAATCTTTCAGGTGCTCTTTCTGTAAGATATTCACGTCAACAAATAATTCTTCAATTTCGCTTTTCGAGGGAGTCTTCTCCGGCGACGATCGCCGGTGAGAAGAATTATCATCCCCGGTTGACTTTGTCGTCGACTGATCCACGTTGTCTGATTCAGCTCGAAGCTCGCTGGATGGTGTCTTTGCCGTCGACCGATCCATGTTGTCTGATTCAGCTCGAAGCTCGCTGGATGGTGTCGTCTCTCGTCTTCTAAAATTTGGCGGCGAAAAAGATATAATGTAAGATATATATATATATATATATATGAGAGAGAGACGAACGTTTATGATTCACTCCTTTTGAAATTCAAATTGTAGAGACGTGAAGAAAAGAAATTATATTAATATGAAAATTTAAAACAATGTAAATACCTTTCTCTGCCGTTGATATTATAGGTGGATGTTTCAAACTCAACACTCTCCTCCTACATAAATAAATTCAAAATTAAATTAAATAATTCAAACGAAAAATTCATTTCAAGAGGAGATCAATGACACACTTCACATACCTTCAGATCTACAGAATTGACCAAGCTCTCCTTCGCGACCGAGATCGATCCGTTGCTCGAGCAACAAGACGCCGGAACACTGCCGGAGCTAGCTTCGCTCGAACACCGACTGTCCACTACGTTACTCCGTCGACGTTTGGAATTTCCTGACGTCCGCGGCGGCGAAACTGAATTCTTTTGCTTGAAGACAGCTCCACGGCGGCGACTTCTTAGTTGAACTAACTTCAATTCTCCGCCACCGGTACCGGCCTTCCACCTCTTGGCGGGTGCGGAGGTCGCCGTCGCCACAGCCAGAGCTCGAGCTCTGGTCGTAACACCGACTGGAGCCATCTCCATTGCTGCACTCTCTCTAATTCCTTTACGCTCCCGCATATATGTATATATATTAGACGTCTCAATCTCTACTCTATTTCTGTACTCTTTGATCTCAATTATCAGAATTTGTTCTTTCTCTAAGCCATTTCTACTTTCTCTCTCTATACGTACTCTCTGGATGAATTCTTCTTCTTCTATCTGTTTTTTTCTCAGTTTCAGTAAGTTCTAGAGAGAGAATGTTATAGAGACAATAGTGATCAGGATGATGACGATGATGGTTCTGAATGGTTTTTATGGGGCGAGTTGTGTGGTGTTAACTCCGTTAACGGTTTTGGAAAACGTGTGAAGTCCGTAACGGGAAATTTGACGGCGCCGTCATTCAGATCTGAGCCGTAGGTGATTGTTTACCAATTATTCTGGCTAATCAATGTAGTCCACGAGTGGCTTCAAAGTTGGCTGTTACTGTTTTGTCTTTTTGCGGACTACCGTACAAGTAAAGTTACAGGGAAAATGTGCATAAACACACAAGTAATTTTATCTAAAAATGTGTAAATTTTATTTAATTTTTTGTTTATGTGTTCAATACTGATTAACGGGACTATCCATCTAAATATATTTTTTTAGGAATGTGAGTTTTATCTTACAACATCACTATCTTACGGAATCACTCTATGATATGATTCACTCCCATTCACATATTCCTTATTCCGCCTCCTCCAATATAACACTATTAGATTTGATTTATAGATAAAATTACTTGTCCTTCGTAATAATATTAGTACCTTATTTCTACAATATTGCTCACAATACCTTACAACCACAACAATGTTTAAAGTCCATTTGTGATCAGAAATGGAGTATGATCACCCCTGAAAATATTTACGAAAATATTAGTAATGCGGTGATGACCTCGGTGTGTTCATGTGATGTGGGCGAGTGCAAGACACAGGACGAACTATATCATACTGGTAAAGTATCATTATTCCATATCACCTAGGAAAGGTAAAATGATTAGCCAAGACCAAAAATCCTAAAACCATCTAAAACTTATTTTAGGAGTGTGAGTCTTGACATCACTCTGTCATCATGTGATAGGGTCCGCTTCCATTCACATATTCCTTAGTCCGTGTTTTCCAATGTATCACTGCTAGATTTGATTTAAAGATGAAATTAGTTGTTCATAATAATATTAGTATCTTATTTGTAGAGTATTGTTGAAATGAAGCTACACAATACCTTACAACCACAACAATGTTTAGAGTCCATTCTCAGTTGGAAATGGGGTATGATCACCTTTGAAAATATTTACTAAAGTATTCATATGAGTAATGCTGGGCTGGTGCGAGATATGGAACGAGCTATCATACCTGCAGTGTGTCATGATCACACGTCTCTCAGGGAAGGTAAAGTGCTATATGTGAGGTTCAACACCCTTCGATGATATAAACCGCGATAACTGTGAATTCATCATAACTTCAAAGTTAAACGTGACTTTTTGAAAAGTCTCTGATCCGAGATTCAGTGACAACGCGGTTATGTTGGGGAATAATCAACTCCCTTCAACTTATTCAACGATCGGCTATTGTTGAAAGTTAAATCCCTCATTCATCACACACAGCGGACGCATCATCACATCACATCAACACAAGTATATATGGAGATAATAATCACACACATCCACGCACAATACAATATTTTACATGATTCACCCAACTCGTGTTACGTCTATGGGAGAGAGAGAGATTTCACTATTATGAATCAAGGAAAAGAATATATAACCACATGTCAAAACCACACTCACTCATTCATCATCTCTTTTGAGGCTATATATATACACTCGGGAATTACATATACTCTTCCCTCTCCTCACAATACTCACCCTTAAACCATTTAGGACATGTTTGGTGGGCAGGAATGGAATACAAGTAGGAATGAAATGGGAATGATGTAGGAATGAAATGATCATTCTCATTCCACTATTTGGATGCAAACCGAGAATGGAATAACCATTTTCATTCCTGTGTTTGATTAGATCAAATAAAAAGCTGGAATGGAATGATTTATAAATTAATTTCTCTAAAATACTCTTGCTTGTAGTATATTAGTTATATTAAAATAGAATGACATATTCTTATTATATAATAAAACTAGTTTATACCAATTAATGTATTTTTATAAAATGTAAAAAAATACAATTATCTTATAATGTGTAATGTAAATATATATATATATATTTTCAAAAAATTATCTTATAAAATGCAAGACAAATGTATCACCTGCCTGTCATAGTATGAAAGATGTAACAAATATTTGTTAAAAATGATTTAATATAGGTCTAAAATAATTACTATTACTTGAATTTACACATTTGTATCACCTGCTTGCTAAGAAAATAGAAATAATCAAACTAAGACAAAAGATAAGAAGTTTTGCATTTACAATAGAAGTTTGATTACAGGTATATATTTATAGGTATTGGCATGTGGAAAGTATATGATACACATATTACATATACATAATTCCGCAATCCTCTGTTTCACACGCCAACTAATACCTATCCTTCAATTCACATTATGACCTGAAGCTTATCAACAATCACTTCCTCATCAGCGGGAAAGTCGGTCAAGAAGATTAGCTGAACTTATGCCTTGGGGGCTAGATTCTATAGTTGTTAGCTCTTGGTTCCCAATGGAAATTCATCGATTGGTCGTGACCCTGTGTTGTGTAGTTCTACTGCCCTTCTCCCGGTTAGGGGTACTTTGACAGCAACTTTCTCTTCTGGTTCAGGGTAGGGAATGTAGAACTATCTGACTAAATGGATCCACATATCTGCCTCACCTGGTCTTATATGATCGGACTATCTGCCTCAATGGATCCACAAATTTTGATTCTTTCTACAATTAGATCTTATGTCATCAAAGAAAACTATATTCTTCTGATTTTGACTTTGTCTAACATGTATAGAACAAATTGCAGAGTACAAACTGCAAAATAGAGAGCGATATATATATAATATGTATAAAACAAATTGCAAAACACACTGCAATATATATATATATATTCCATGGTATACAGTGTAGTGTGAAGAGAAAAAGAGGAGAGGGAGGGGGTGTACCCTCACATAGTGAGAGAGGAGAGATGGAGAGAGAGTACCTATATGAGAAGAATACGTATGGGTTTTTTTGTCTTTCTATTTTATTATTTAAATTTAATAGGAATGGAATGGCCATTCCACAAGTCCAGAAGAGGAATGGTCATTCCATCTAAAAGCTGGAATGAGCATTCCAAGTAATGGTCATTCCACTTTTAATGTTGCACACCAAACAAGAGAAAGAGAATCAGAAAGTGGAATGGTCATTCCATTCCAGCTCATTCCATCACACCAAACTAGGCTTTACATCTTTTCTTTCTTCTCCGTTTCTAAAGCCCTCACACCCATTTCTATTTATAGGTTTTCAAACCCAATTCCTTGTTGACAAGTATTCCCCAACTTGCCTACAAGGAATTACCATAATGATCACAACTCTAAAATAGAAACATAAATAGATACAATTTCCTCCACAAATTTTAGCCTTCCAAAACGAAAAAGGAAACTAATTTTCTGTATACAAATTTTGAGCCACAAACCCAACAATCTCTACATTGGCTCAAAATTCAATCTTCACGTGCTTCTCCATAGCTCCACTTCAAATAAGGATCTTTTCATAACGCTACCTTAATTAAATATTTCTCCACCTCAAACAAAAACACTATAATAAAGTTGAGAAACACTCTAAAAGATTACTCCCATAAGATTAGAAGTTTAGAACAAAAATAAGGAAATGAAAAGGAAAACGAGAACATAGATGTTAAGAATGAGACATGAGACACATGGTCATTAAATTTATGGCCATAACGGGGACTACGCGTTAGGTATAAATAAAAGTGAATAATGAATGGAAACGTGGAGATGTAACTATTACATTACATGCTCAAATTAAAACAAGTAGATACGGAGGCAACATCACGCCTTGGGCCTCCATTTATTCCAAAACGCCCTTGCTGTAAGCTGAGGGTGGACCACTTCCATTTAAAGCTTCAGTGCTTGCCGGCTCTCATTTATTTACCATGCAAACAGTACTTCTTTGGTTCAGTTGTAGTTAGGCAGCCGCCTTGATCATTTCTACCACTCATGTGAATATTCAAGATTTCGCGGATCAACCTGTACTTTTATACGTGGCCATAGCAACGTTGGCAAGAATTTTAGAAATAAGTTTTTAAGATCTTGTTTTTAAACTGCACTCTTGATTTGAATGGTGCGTGTATTATGAGGTCGATACACAGCGCTCTAAAAAAAAAAAAACTTTATTTTTATGCTTGTTCTGTGAAGAAGTGAGAAATTGTGTTATTTTGTTTTATTTATTTATTTATTTATTCGATTGAATGAAAGAAGAAAAGAAATTGATAACACTCGTTAACATAAAAAGAAAGAGAGGAAACGGTTTAAGTTGTTTTTATCATTATAATCATTACAATTTATAATATTATTATTTATTAATGATAATAATGTAATTTAAAACTTTATAACATTACTTGTCTTTCCTCCTCTTTCATCCATATTTGGAGAGATAAAAATTTGTGAGGTCCTATTATACTTTCTCTTTCATTATGGAACATATGAAGTTCGTCCATTCCTTTCGATCTTATCTCCACCCTCTTTCATTTCCTGCTTATCAAACAAAGCATAACAAGTGTACTAGTAATTTACACAAACATACAATATATATATATATATATATATATATATATATATATTGTTTTTTTCACCATTTTTACTTTGAAATATCAACAAATTTAATAGCAGTAGTAAATTATACCACAATAATGGTGAAATTTCACTTAATTTTTACCCACCTATAAAAATAATGAAATTCACCATTTGAATTTTACAGAAATATGAATGCAAACTCATCCTGTTATTCATATCATTTTAAATACTTTTTCAAGATATTAAAGAAAAATAGGAATTAAGCACATAACAATACAAAGTCTCAACCTTCACAAATAATAAAAGAAAAAGTCTCAGGGTTTATGATATTGGCAACTTGAGGGAAACCAAAAATGAAAGGACCAAAGGGAGGTCATTATTATAAACTTGAAAGTAAATTCCATATTATGTTAAGATTATAAAAAATTTAAGATCAACGAAACTTCAATGATCAGTGTCGAACACAACAACACAGGTTATATCATTTATTTGTTTTGGCTGTCGATTTGGAGTAAAGTAATCAAGG